TAATGAGCTTTTCTCCAAGTGGAAAACTGCGGTGCCTCCTAAATAAGAATGTCCCACGAAGACTCGTGACCATATGCATTACAAAGCCTTAGAAACAAACCCTCCTATGAAGCCTTGATGACACTAAACAAAGGCAGCCATTGTCAGATTAACAAGCGAACCTCCGCTCAAGAAGGTCTCTGTGCTTCCACCACAGGAGGGGGAGTCCAGCCAATCAGAGCGAGGATAGAGGGAGGAGTTTAAGTCATGTAGGATAGGTCTGGGGTGACCTCCAACACCAGCTGCCCAAATCCAAAACAAGAGATGGTTTCCACTTCTCCTTTGGCACAGAGTTAGACTGGATCCCACAGGGTCACTGAGCCACCTTAGAACCAGTGTTTCCCAGACTCCTTTCCAAAAGGCGATTTTACATGGCCTGAGTGAATTCACCTCCAGGAGCTGCCAAAGCGTCTGTAGCTAAATGATTCTCCATGAGCTGTGAGATAAAAGCACCTAAACCCCTCAACAGCTCCTGCACTTCAAAGTTACTTCAGACACCCAAAGCATCAGCCTCCAGACTAACTGAGGAGACATTTCTCATGTCCGTCATCCTGGATTCTCCCACCAGACCTTCAGGAACCCCCACCCTCCCTCCTGTTTAGGATTGCTTGGCTTAATTTATAATCATTACTAAAATGCAACACTATCTGTTAGCTGAGCAACATATTTAGACGTGTGGGTTCAGATATGACTCTGGAGTAAAACGTTAGCAGGAAGAGGCAGAGGATGGGTTGAGATTGCTTACCACAGACAAACCTCCATCTCTGTCCGGTACACCAGCTGTCACAAAGCGAACAATGGGGTCCCTTGTTCACACCAGATAAATCCAATTCTGTTTTTTGTCCTTAGAAAATATAAGTAATCCAGTTTAAACATTAAGAGCTTCAATCTACAAACCTTTTCTTGCTAAATAAATCAGGGCTACATTCCTAGACATTTCAATAACCATATCCAAGCATTCAGCCTCAGTTTTGATCAACTCTTGACCTGCTTGTTTTTCCCCCAGCAGCAGTTTTTAAACATCGTTTTTCAGATGACGTGACAAACGACACCAGAGTGTAATCAGGGCGCAGCGTTGCGAGGTAAAAGCAGGGGTCAGTGGGCGGATGAGGAGCCAGCCAGGATACACACATCCGTTAGTACTGTCCTCCTCAGGAGGAAGTGAAGACACAGAGCCTCCTGGATTAGAAACCCAGAGCAGTCTGGTGAAGATGTTAGCGCTCAGTTTGCCCCATGGGAGAAGAGGATTTAGGAGGCCATCGTAGGGGATCAGCATGTAGGGAGCGATTAATATTTTCCAAATGACAGAACTTCAAGATCTGGCATTGCTTTTACTCAATTTTATTCACATCATGAATGAATCAAGTCATTAACTTTAGTTTCCCGACAGCCCGCTGACATTATAAGAAAAGGCTGAACTATTTCAAAAACATGACTCACTCATTCAGATGTCTATTGACATGTACAGCAAGTTATTATCCTCTTTAATGCTGCTGAGTGATGATCAGCACTTTCCACTTTAGCCTTGGGGAAACTGTAGGCAGGTAAGAGAACCCATCCGGATTACCAGAGAGGAAAAGGGGGAAACAGGTGAAGATAAACATGTTTGACTGAATCACCTTAACCTCATTACAGAGTCTCAGAGAACCAGAGTGAAATTAGGGAGGCGTGTTGGGTTCAACAGTGCTGATCTGTGGATCTTAACAGGATTACAGTACATCCAGCAAAAAACATTAAATCCTGGTGACATCTCTGATATGTCCAAGTGTTTTAGAGGCCCAATCGTAGTAAAAAAAAATACTTCTAAAATGTCTACACAGCAGTCAAAATCTCAGGAGAAATGTCCGGGCTTGTCTTTGACTCAATTTGGATTCGTTTTGCCCGGAGTGTAAGGGGTGTGTAAATCAACTCACCCCCCGCTTTGTGTGGAACTGCTGCAGCGACCCATCAGGGTAAACACTAAGCTAACGGCCTATTGTGATCCCAGCCATTCATATCAACAAGCTGGTAAAAGAAAGAAATTCTTTAATTCTTTATGCGGTAACAACAAGACACGGATCAGAGTTATGTTATGGAGAGAAGAACTTTTGAAGAGCAGCACCAGGCTGGTGTCACTAGGAATCAAGAGGTAGGCAGCAGTAGAAGTTGGGGGCGGTGTGACCTGCTGCACCCAAGAAGCCATATTGGCACGCTGTGCCAAACCAACAGCTTCAGGCTATGTAAACAACATCAATAGCTCCGCTTTTTCAGATTTTGTATGTGGAACAGATGTCAACATGTGGTCTGACGGCATATAAAGTTACCACTAGGTACACATGTAGGAGCAGGAATAAAACAGATAAACCACTCTCGTCACCACAGATCCATCAATTGAACCATAACAATACCCAGTGAATACGTATACAACAGGCATAAAAAAAGGTATTCAGAGACCTTTGAATATTTCCGTACATCAGGGAGTTTTTACATGCAAGACACACAAAAAGTGGTGCATTATTGAGAAGAGAAAGGAAAAGAAAACACATTTGTTAAATGTTTTTTATAACTAAAAAAAAGCAAAAAAAAACCAGCAACCTGAAAATGAGGCGCGTGTTTGTATAGTCTTGTTTTACTATGACAGGCTAAATAAAATCCTGCATAGCTCATCACTTATCTAATAATTTAAATCCACATGTTAGCCTACATTAGCAGAGTAAAAAAAGAAGAAAAAAAACAGCACTACTGCAACCATGACAATGTTCTGAGCTATCACTTAAAAGAGATGTGAATAACTGAATAAATGTTAGATCCATAAAAAAATAAAATAAAATAAAAATCCCAAAACAGCTAAGACAAAAAAGAAGTAAATATTTTCAGCTTCTGTGGATGTGAGGAGAATCCATTTGGAAGTAGGAAGCCCCAACCTTATGACACGTTATTCGGACTTTCAGTTGAAATTTTGAACTCAAAGATCGGAAATTCCTCCTACAGAGTAAAACTTGAACGCAGCGTAAAGCACACTGCAGACCGGACCAGAACTAAACAGTAGAGAGGTTTTTAAAGCAGAGTGAGGTTATAAAACAATAAACATCCTTCAATCCATCACCTGAAAATAAAAAAGGACACAGCTGGTAACCTGGCCAGATATAGCTGTAAACCGATATGCCAGTGAATTTATAACAGGATGTTCATGCAGAAATCCTTAGATCAGGACGGGGAACCTGTTCACAGGAAACCAACTAATCCTGCAATCTAAAAATCTTCATAAAAGCATGGAAATAAAATAAAAAAAAGAATGAAGAGAAATCAAGAAGAAATCCCGTTCTTGTCTACCACAAGAACAGGTGTTCTGGTAAATCAGCCTAAATGTACACAGTTTGGCCTGAAAACACACAGGGAATTTAACACTTAGCATATCTTTGATTCCCCTAATCATGTATGGCAGTGGCAGCATCATGCAGTGGGATTGTATTTTTCTAGCAAAGAAAATAGAAGCAAGTCAAAAGCAGCAGGCAGAGCAAACCCAGACAAAAAAATAAAGCTGTTTTAATCTAAAAAAATATCTGTAATACAGAAAAAAAGAAAGCTTAGTGAGTCGCATAACTATGGAAGAGGATTAGGGCCACTGAAAAATAAAAAAAGTTTACTGATTTTTAAATATTATTTCAGTTTAATATGGGAAAAAAGTCAGAATTCTGACTTTAATCTCAGAATTCTGACTTTAATCTCAGAATTTTGGATCTTAATGTAGATGGGCACTGTGAAGGAAGAGATGTGGGAGCACTCAGCTTCACTGACAAATATGCAAGTTGTTTGAGAGGGCCAGTTACAAATTGGTGGAAAATGATGGAATTAGGCGACTTTTTACGTGCCCGAGGGGTCCCTGGTGATGCTATTTAATTAACGGAGGAGCAGAAGGTGATTAAAACAAGAGAGCTAGTTTAGTCTCTAAAGAAGACATAGCTACGACTTGATGCTAACATGTTTGTTAGCTGTCAGAATTCAGTCAGAATTGTGAGATTAAAGTCAGAATTGTGAGATTAAAGTCAGAATTGTGAGATTAAAGTCAGAATTGTGAGATTAAAGTCAGAATTCGGAGATTAAAGTCAGAATTCGGAGATTAAAGTCAGAATTCGGAGATTAAAGTCAGAATTCTGACTTTTTTCTCATATCATACTGAAAGAAAATTTAAAAATCAGTTAACTTTTACATTTTTTTCCATTGGCCCTAATCCTCTTCCGTGCATAACAGAATACTATCATATATAATTAGTTCATCCTACAGTAGGGAGAACATCTGAGGAGAAGGCATCCTCCATTTGTCAGTAGCTTTTGGTGGATCTACTGTGGAAACAGAAACCTGATGAAATGAAGCAAACTTTTGAAGCACATCTGCTCTGAAAGCAGATGGTGGAAAAGGAGCCCTTATGGCTGAGACTGCAGGAGCCACCAGTGAAATCTGGAGAAACAAATGGAGACTGTGGAACATTTACTGGCCTCCTAAACCACAGCAAAGAGGAAAGTTAGTCCAGCAAATTACTGGACGAGATCAAAGCCAATCCAAACGATGTGGCTGCTGGTGGGAAATCATTTAGAGGACACATTTCAAGTCACACTACAGCTGCTGCTGATGTGTTAGAGCTGGTTCATCTCTTAATGAGGTTTTTTTTAAGCTAACTGCTAGCAAACAAACAAAAACAAAAAAAAAAAAACTCGACTTTATCAGGTTTTAAAATTTTAGCAACAAAACTGTTATGAATATTTCTTAATTAAATAAAGAAAAATGAAGCATATTTCGAAAGTATTCAACCTTCTAACACTATTTATATCCAGTAATTTAATGTTTGTAATGAATTTTATTTAAATTTAGTCAGTTATCCAGTGAGGCTCGCGCCCAGCGGGATGATAGCGAGCACTTCCAACGAGCTAAACTTTCTACCTCAAACTTCATGTCGCATTAAATGATAGAATGGGTTTCCTTACCTTGCTCCGGCCATTTTTCACATTGTAAACGAGGCGGACACAAAGAAGAAACTTTGCTCTGCTTCGGAGGTTAGTTAGTTGCTTTTTTGTGCGGTAGCTGCTAGTGAGCGGTGAGAACAGGACGGTCCTCCTGCCTGCCTGCTGAATCCGATATGAAGTCTCCGCCTCTCCACGTGAATCATGGTTGGGATGGGGGGGTCACCCGGTCTGTACCCCCCACAGACAGACAGACAGACAGACCCATCCAAACTGGCCTCCTTCCTCTCCGCTTTATCCCTGCCTGCCTGTCCGACGGACCTCCTTGTGACTCACCTCCTCGGCGGGACATTAGCCTGCTTTATTTTAATAAAGCTACGGATAATATTGTCCCGTCACAAATATCAGACACTTAGATATCTAAAAAAACAAAAACAAAAAAATGTTTATTTGCACTTTTACATAATTTCTGTTATAAACTCTGTATAGAGATTAAAAACGGGTTCATTTAATGATGATATATATATATATATGTAAAAAAAGGGGGCTTTGCAACCCTGACTTCCATGGGCGGTTCTACACAGGGGCCAACGGGGTGGATCATAAATCTGATCATAAATACCTTTCCTGACCACACATTTAAAAAAAGAATTCCTTATTTAATCTCAAATTTTCTAATTCACCTTGCATTTTCCAGTACTTATTGGTTTAACTGGTTTTCAGTGAGCACAGAGACCAGTAGGATCACAAGAAAGGTAAATGGAGAGAATAAAGTAAGAAAAAAAGAACACGAAAAAAAGATATCATATATTTGATTAGGAAAGTTATTTAAAATCTGAATCATTTTGGGGTTTTTTTCAATATTGATTTTGAAATTGGATTTGAAATTACTTGCAGTATTTAATAACTGATTAATAAATACAATTTGCAGTTTCTCTTTGATAATTCAATTTAAAATGTACAATTGGAAAATGCGTTTCAAATGGGATTTCTATGTATATGATACAAATGTTAAATTTGAAATGGCTGATTTTCTTTTTCAGTGACTCTCCTAATCCTCCACAGTAACTTATTTTTAAAGGTGAAAAGTATAAACTTCTGATGGTTTCTATCACAATCCTGACTCAAAATATTACAAAAAGGTTCCTGCTTGACCAGAAAACAGAAATTAACCCGTTAATTAAAATTTACTTACTGATGATTAATAGACTCTGGCAAGGTTCATATCATAAAAATATGCTCCTAATCTTGACAGGATGGTTGAATGAAACCATCCAATACAACAATTTTAATAGTTAAATAATATTATAGGAATTTATTAGTTCAAGCTATACAAAAGTCTAGATTCAACTGAATTTGAATTATATATAATAGTCATCTTAACAACATTCTAAAATTGGCATTATCTTTTTTTAAATGTAAAATATTAAAGTTTTAGTCCCCTAACCTCCTTATTAAGCTAGCTGTGCTTTACAGGCTCTACTGGTGTTTTTGCCATGTTGTCTATTTCTTACCTGCTCGAAAACATAATTTTTACAGGATTTTGTGGCCAATTCTCGCTTCCTTTTATACTCTCTATCCCTCTACTCCTTCTTTCATGTACATCATCTCTCCTGCTCCAAGCTATGAATGGAGGGCTCTTAACTTGTCCTGTGCCTCCTAAACAGAGAGGAGGGGGTGAGGTGGTGTGTCTGCTTTTTCCTAATCCCTGCTGTTCAGTCTGTGGGGGATTCAGCAAAGCAGAGACCCGAATTAAATACACGACCTCTATTTATTCTTTTTTTTTATTATTAAGTGCAACCAGAACAGAGCTATTGGTTCTACCCAGTATGTAACACATGAGAACAGGTCAGCAGCCATACCAGGTCACCCTGAACTTTCCCACCTCTTCTGATGGCCAGTCTGTGCCTAGCCTGTGCTTATATAGTTCTTTATTAAGTCCAAGGACTTCAAAGTACTTTGCAATAAAGCACATTTAATCATTCACCCAAGCACATGCTGATGGTAACCCAAAAACAGAAGTGATTGACTGGTGACTGGTTTAATAATGCACAAAGCAATAAATAGTTTATCAGTCCTGGAACAGAAAAGGCTGCAACTTATTCTGCAAATGATAAAATTACATTTTGAAAGATGATGTACATATGTACTCGACTTAATTTTGACAAATCATGATTTTGTTTCACATACCTACGACGACATTTTGACTAATAATAATCCAATAACAGATACAGTGCCTAATGAAACTATTTAGCCACTTTGAGCTTTTAGACCTTTGCCACATTTCAAGGTTTCAAACATAGAAGATATAAAAGATATAAAATTGTAATCCTTTTTGAAGAATAATCAACAAGTGAGACTGACTCACTCTACTTGCTCTCCGGATGCAGAAAATAAAAGTTATTTTCAGCAGACAATGACTAAAAATGTCCAAAAAATAATAGCGGGTATTATACATACAAAACCTATAGAAAAACAGTTTCCATTGAGTACACTGCTGTATTTTATTAATGTTTTTAATTTATTTTTGATATGTACCATGCCTTAGCTAATGCTTTTAGTTTATGATTAGTTTTCACATGCTGAATGCAAAGACAATTTAAAGTTAAGACATGACTTGAATATCACTTAAAAACAGGCTGTGTATAATATTTTTAGCCCGGCAATATCATAGATAGCTAACACGTCAGAAAGTGCGATTAAAATATATTGGAAACTTCCAGTTGGTCTGGACTTTCCTAATTCCAATATTTGGGATATCTGAGGGTAAATAGAAAACATTAATGCCTATGGTTGTTGTAATAAATAAACTTAAATACATAATCGGTCAAACTCACAGATTAATCTTGTGTTCAATTTTCAGGTTGTGAAGGCAAACCTGGTTGGTAACACTTCATACTTCTCTACCAGTGCAATCTCGTTGAATTTATATTGGGATACAAACGGTGTATCCAGTCTGATGAGGGAGATTTCATTTTCCCATTTATGATCCATCTAAGCAAGTTCTTTATGGCATGAAATCCTTTGCTTTTGCTATTAACAATCTCTCACGGCTCATTAAGCTTTGGTACATTCGTCTCTATCAAAAGCCCAATGCCAGCATCCAATTGTGAAATTGTAATAGCATCCAAATATTGTCATTTGTCAGTATTTTACTGACAGGGAACGCCAATCTTTGAGACAGGACTTGCTTCTTGTGTGTAGACCGCTGGGAGCTCTCTGAAGATGTTTTCAGCTCAGAAACCTCCAGTCCGATAGTGACTAAACACCAGCGTCTCCTAACCCATGGCGAACAGCAGAATATCAGCCTTTGTGCCGTTTATGTTCAGCTGGTTCATGAGTGTGCTGGTGGTGAGGGTGGCTGTACTCCTGGGATCTAAGAAGGCATAACACCTTATTACCTTTCTTGGATGACTTTGTGTGTTAGAGTACAGTCATAGTACCGGGGATTGCAAGTCCTGTCCTGGTGAAACACAGGACACATATGCACTGCTTATGGATCCCTTATGGTGGGGTGTTTTATGTGGCATTTATCACAGGTACGACTGCCTCTACATTCCTTTATCATGTGGAAAAGTATTCAAAACATGCTCCTTTTCCTTTTAAGAATTAATTTTATATTCTTGATGAGAACTCCTTTGCAATTTTAGGCATGAGTCTGCTAACAGTAGAGATAGGAGATATCCAGAGCTGATATAAATATTACAATGCTGCTCTCTTTGATTTTGGCCTTTTTTGGTATCTTATTCATATTTATTCCTCTCATTACAGGACTTTGTGTCAGATTTCTCCACTCAGTGGATCGTTCACCAAATCATTAAATGTGGCTCTGAAGCCTCTTTGCGCTTGTAGCTCACAGGCTGTATATTTCTTTTTCTCCGAGCTTATGAGGACAGTCCATTATTATATACATATTTTTATAAAAATCAAAAAAAATTTGGCTGTCCACCCCAGGCAGCAAAACATAAAGGATGTCAGGAGAGAAACTATACAGTAAGGGTGGGCAATTCCAGTTCCTGAGGGTTGGTATCCTGCAACTTTTAGATCCATCCGGGGTCCAACACCCCTGATTCAAATAGCTGAGTTACCTTCTCAGTATGCAGTCATTTCCTCCAGAGTCCTCTCAGTAATCTATTTACTTGATTCAGGTGTGCTGAACTAAAAGCACATCTAAAAGTTGCAGGGCACGGCCCTCTGAAACTGGAATTGCCCACCTCTGCTATACAGTTATGTAGCTTGTAAACAGGTTATGACTTATTTTAGACTGACTCAATGAGACTCTCTAGCTCATTTTGTTCAGTGAAAGCTGTTTTAAGATGCAGACAGCAGGTGACTGATGACACTGAGAGCTTGTATGAGTCACAGCTTTATAGTCAAAGATGAATTGAAGTAAAAAAATCGAATGCTCAGAAGAATTATCTCAACTAGATTATTCTATGTTGAACAGTGATTCCTGTGTTCCTAAATTCTACTTTGTATAATCATAATTGAATTCACCTGTCACCATCCTGGTATTCCCCACTCTCACAGAGTCGCGCAGTACAAATGCCTGTAATATAATGTAATTAGTACAAAAATGTAATCAATATATGTATATAACATATACATCATCAATTTAGGACTTTTTGCACATCTCAGATAGTGTGTTTATTCCTAATGTCTGACTATAGTATTATTATTCTCCATTAACACACATATTTTGTTGTGATGGATTTGTATATGTTATATTACATGTTGTATAGACTCCATGGACTTTATATTGAATATGAAATGTGATGTGCCTATTTTTCTTATCATAAATCACAGTAATGTACTGATGCTAGGAAACAGCAAGCGTGTGTTGAAGTGATTAATTTATCTTTATCTTAAAAGTTGCCCTGAAAATAAGAACATCATCGCTGTTTGATGCTGTAGTGCACATATTGTTTACAACCGGTCTAACTAGGGAGTACCAATATGGCGGCCGGTGACTTCATAGCACCCTGTACTACCAATGGGCTATCAGCAATCCAGTAAATAAATAGAGATAAGTGGTTCATACTGTATGAAATCTGAACCTGTAAACAAGCAGACAGAGACATCTGCTGGACAAACACAATATCTTAACAATCAATCAACAAAATGCATATTTGAAACAAAACATTTTATTATCCACAATTACTATCAGCTCCATCTAGGTCTATGGAAATGTTTCCAAGAAAAAAACAAACAAACAAAAACAAGATCTAATAAAAGCTAGTAATTCACATTGAGTATTATTAAATTGTGTTGTTTTTTTTTTATCCCCCCTCTGGCACAGAGTAGACTATTTATTCATTATTGTACATCTTATCACAGTGAACCCTTTAAGTGCTTTTCTCACATAAATGAGGACAAACATACAAATTGTGGGAGATGAGATTTTCGATACGTTCATTTTGTCAACTCATATTATACGAGGTCTGCCTCTTAAGTATTATAAAAAATATTGTAAACATTTATATTAATTGCACAACATACATTCAAATACATACTGCACTGTACAGCGAAGGTGTTGTTATCCAGTAGCACCATGTATAGCAAACTAAACAAACTATATGGAATCTTCTAAAGTGTGGTATCATCAGTACAAAGGAGTAGCATCATAGTCACTAGAGTCACTTTGTTTTCAATGGTTGAATATTACTGTGTTCTAATGGGTGTGAGGCAGTGGTTAGTGTAGGCCTATTCCAGGTTTAGATGGTTGAATGGTTGTAAAGAAAGTCGGATCACATCTTACACATGTGATGGGGATAACACTTTGTAAAGACATTCAGTGTTAAGATCTACTATAACACAAGATTATGGAGAGAAGTTTGATACAGTTGGCTGTCAGGAAAGTTCACATCACTTCCATGTGCAAACACGTCGTCATCTGAAATACAATGTTCAGTTTCTCTGCATGTGCTGCAGAGACATAACGAGGCCATGATGTTTTGTGTAGCAGCAGAGTTGACACGTAGCTCATCATGCTTCCATCCAGTCCCGTTTTCCACAAAAGAAAGCAGATTAAAGCGATTTTCTTTATATTATCTACAAATACTACTGTTGCACTGATTGGCTTCTGGACGCCAAACTGACCACATTGCCCAGATGTTGATCTCTAAAGCCCGGGGTAAACACATTTAAATGGTTATGTTTTCCAGTGTAGATAAATTAAAAGTCGATTTTTTCTTTTTCAGTCTTAGTGTCTCATCCACACGAAGGCCACAAAGAGCAGCTCTCCCAAAAAACTAAAGCCAGTTTAGAGATGAACAGTATCTCAGGTTATGGTTCAGTGAAGTGTGGTCAAGGTCCTCAGGTTGGTATGTGGTCTTCATTCTCCGTCCTCTGCTGGAGGAGGCTGCTATGGTGGGTTTGGGGCAGCGGGTATTTAACCAACCCATCCCTCCCAGATCTGCCCCCTGCAAAACCAAGGAAAAAAAGCCCACCAAGTTAAAAATGTAACTTCAGACACTCACTTAAAAGCATTACTCCAGTTCTTTACACAAACACTGTAAAAAAACAAAACATGAAAAGGCAATAACAGAACTGAAAACTACGTTACAAGAAGTTTCTCCCGCATTGCATGTTATTGACTCAAAAGGACAAGTAGAGAAAAATACGTTGCAGCTTTGCAATGTAGGTAATGAGAGCAACTGTTAATGAATGAGAACAAAACTAAAGGAAAAGACAAGCTGCTGGGTCATCTGATCAAGCTAAACAGAATCTGGGTAGGAGGCGAAAGGAGCAGATCTTGGCAGACTACAAATAGCAGATGGGTTATGACAAACTCACAGCGATTTGGAGGAAGACTTCTTCATTTTTGGCCTCTTTCGACGATGAACTGGCCTGAGGCATGCACAGCATGTACACACGCGTAGGCCAAATGCACGTGCATGGAAACAAACAGGTATACACACACACACACACACACACACACAGCATACACAGGTGTTCACACACAGATGCATGCACACACACACACCAGAGATGAGTCATTAAGCGTAATTACAAAACAGGACCAGCAGAAATTGCAAAGCAGGCTAGCATGTCGCCTTTCTGTGGGTTTAAATCACTCAAATGCAACAATAAACATGGAAGCTTACAACTACTTTAGGGCTACTTTTCTTAGAGTCCAGAAAGTCTTCTGAAACTTTTAATAGGTTGTCATATTACAGCCTCAGGATCTTATGAGATGGATTAGAATTGGTCAAACCTGAACACTCTGGACACTAGAATCAGCTATTGCTCTATATTTAGGAAGGCAACCCTCTACAGCCATCTGTAGTCTCTAACAAGTAATGCCCTGTATCTAGATATTGTTTAATCAAGTCTGAATAATTTCCTTGTTCCTGTTGATTGGAACCATCACCACAGCATGATGCTGCCAACATCATGTATAGGTTAAAGCTAGTTTTAACCAAGGCAAATGGGAAAAAATTATTGAAAATTAATCTAAACACACCAACTCTCCCTCATTTTTGCTGCTCTCCTTACATAGCTATGCTGTAACTGCAAACAGGGCAATTCTTTTTTTCTTGGAACAATAATGCAACTTTCTTCATGCCATTCTTTCTTTCATAGCAGACTTACAGGATAAATGGTCGTTCTTTAGAAAGATTCCCCCCCCAGGCTTCTGCAGGACCTCCAGTGCGACTGTATGTTGGCTGAATTTTTGGTTATAGTCCTTTCTGTATCATTCTTCTTCAACCTTACCTTTATACATTTCTTAGTGTTGGGCTATCAATTTAAATCCCAAAAGCAGAGTAACATGAAATAAATGCAAATAAAGAAAAAAAAATGCAAAAAAAAGTGTAAGGGGTGTGATAACTTTGTGAGACACTGTGAACAGAGCTTCACTGTGAAGACAGAAGCCTCCCTGATTTAATATGGAAACTTTCATTCCATTTGGAGGGTTTGTGAAAGTAATTATCTGTGAGCTGCTGGGAGGAAGACATACCTGTACTCACTGAAGTGGTTCCTCTCCTTTCCTCCTGGAGGGAAATTAAAGGGACATTAATCTCAGTCTGAAATGACTCTGGAAAAATCAATACATCACGTTTAGCTGAGATTTTACTCACCCTTTTCAGGGTTGCATTGCTTGTGCCCCTTGCAGCTCCGTAAGGCCATGAGCTGTTGATGCATTGAATTGAGAGCGTTGCGATCAAGAGTGCTGACAGCGTTTATCAGCTGCAGGAAAGGTAAGGACAAAAATGTCAACAAACTCTTTGTGAACTCTGGAAAATCTCAGAAAGGCTCTTCCCCCCCATGGACAAAGGAATGTACTGTGACACATATTGTAGGCTTATTCTATAGTTTTCATTGTTGAGGTATTTATACCTCCTGTTATGAACGTGGCTGTGCAAACAACAAACCTGGTAAGGATCAGTACTGAGGTCAAAATATTCCATGAAACCGGTGGCAAATTCACAGAACAGGAAGTTGTGTGTGTCATTGATGGTCCTCAGGCACCAGTATGTGTTGTTGTTGGCACTGGTGCATGCACAGAACGGACCCACTAAGGAAGGGAGGAGTGGTTTTAGAAAACAAGAGCTCTTTATAGAAAGGGTGCATAATATTGTTTTATCTTATCTTTTGTTGAAAATAACTCCAGGGTAGAAAATTAATTCCAAAATACTTTATTTATCAAACAACTTTCTCTAGGATTGCATCTTCCCTTACTTGTCCAGAAGGGGGCAGTCTGCCAGTGATGGTTGTCATGGGTGAAGCAGGTAAGACCAGGCATGCTGCAGGTGTCATTGTTCTGCAGTCGCTTTAGAAATTTTCGCAGTTTTTTTCTGCGCTTCTGTTCCTTCTGCAGCCACTGTGTTTTCTGCTTGGATGGCACTCTGACAGAAAAAAAAAGGTTTTCAAAGTGTCTGGAATAAAGAAAAGGCTTAAAAGTCTACCCAAGTTTTACCTGAGGGAGTGTTCAACATTTAGCAGGTAAGCCTCCTTGTTCTTGGGAAGGTAACTAAGGACACAAAATGAAGTTGTCACATTTGGTGAATCTCTGAGGTGGTTTCATTTTGTGGTAGAGCATTTCTCACCTGGGAGGGCTACACTGACATTCCTCTGGCCGCACCTTTTTCAGGTGACCTTTCACCTCACGCAAGTTCTTGATTTTGGTCTGCAAAGTTTCAATCTAAATGCAGCAAGAACAACTAGAGAGTCACCCGAGGCACGCTGTATGTCAGACAGGCTTTAAAGGTGTAGTCATTAATCAGAGTTTAGGTAAATATGAGAGTACCTCATGCTCAATGTGCAGTTTGTGGTCTTTCCATGCTTGCAGGGACTTATAAAGCCCCCCATCACACTTAACTGTGTCATTCAAAAGAATGGAACATCTGCAGACACACAAAATACAGAAGTATTCATAGATGTATAATATGACAAAACTGCAATACAAAAGCGAATGTATTTTTACAATAGTGGAAGCTAAACGTTGAAGCAGAAACAGCATGACCATTTACATGTTTTGATAATATATTTTTTTCTCTGTTTAAAAAAACATGTTAAAACAGTTTTGGGCCATCACCGGTCCACAGCTGGCCCATGTATGGCCACCTCTGGCAAATCAGAACTGGGCCACAAAATGGCTTTCATTTTTTGTTACATGTGGGTTGAGTGGGGAGTGGCGGCCCGGTGGTTAGGGCATAGAGCTTGAAATCCTGAGGTTCTGAATTAAAGCCCCACTCCCACATACTGCCACTCTAGGTCCCTAAGCAAAACACTTGACCCCCACACTGCTCCCCCCGTACCATTTAATATATGGGTTAAATGCAGAGGTAAGTTTCTCAAATGCAAAGTCAATAAAGTTCAATTACATTCAATTACTGTTGAATGTATGCGTGCTGAGTGGCCAAGACCAACTTTGCTACGTGGATTCATTAGCGTTTCCTTCATGCACTGGTGTCCAAAATGATAAAGGCTGTCTGGATTTAGCACAGCCTCCTTTTCTATGCAAGTCAATTCTTATAGTTGAGCTAGGGACCATAACTTGATGTGTTCAGGTGCCATCCAGAGAATATGTGAAATGCCATAGTTTAGGGCAGTGGTGGGCAATGCCAGCTCCTGGGGGCCAATATCCTGCAAAATTTAGATGTGCCTTTGGTTTATCAAATCAAGTAAATAGATAATTAAGAGGACTCTGGAGGAACTGACTGCATACTGAGGAGGTAACACAACCCTTTGATTCAGGTGAGTTGGGTCTCAGATGGATCTAACAGTTGCAGGATACTGGCCCCCAGAAACTGGAATCACCCATCCCTGGTTTAGGGTGATGCAAAGGAATCCTTCCAAACTTAAGACTTGAAGCTTATTCCTTAAGATAAATCCAAATCTCAGTAGAAACAGGGAAAAACCTATGGATGCTGGGTTTGGAAATGTTGAAAGTCTGATGGAAATCTTGCAGTCAATTCAATAGTCTTTATTCTGGTGTAAATATACGCAGATAACGATGTTTACAATGACTAATTCTAGCTACACTAACAGACGCTGCTAATATACAATGCTGAAGGCATTCTAAAAAACAAACTATAATTATTTAGTCTCTGTGTTAAATTAATAGTTAAATCCTGTTTTCAAAGCAACAGCACATGCAGCCTGATTCTAACTCTGTTCTAATCTAAATATTTAATGAACATTCACAGCTGGAAGCTTAGAAAGAAATGTTTGCTCTGTTCAGTAATGGTGTTTAAAGAAAAAATGGTGCCGGCAGGTCAGATGCTTCATGAAATAAAACACAAATGTCTGATCTTTTCATCTGAGCATCGGGATTTAATCCTCCCAGTAAACACTTCCTCCAGCATAGAGAAAATCTGACTTCCTTTCAGTTGACACATACATCTTCAAAGCTTCTTTTTTCACCAACATTTGCAGAGCTTACTGTCATATTTTTTCTAAGGAACATGCAATAGTTGCGTATGTGACAGATGCAGCTTGAATATTTGCATTTCCTCCTCCCACACACCTGTAAGTGACTTTCAAAGCAGCAGGTGGTGTGAGCTTGTCACGGCTGGTAGGTTTGGCTGCGAGTCCCATTCCACTGAATTCTTCACCATCTTCTGCGAGGCCTGCGCCTCTCCACCTGTCCCTGGTCCAGCTGCTGTTCCTGGACCCCAGGGGCCTGTAGCCGTCCTCCAGGTCCACGGCATACAGATCTCCATCCAACTCAAATGATACAGAGCGAGCCCAGCGCTTCCTGGTCACAGCCTTACTGGACTTTATCTCTGCATAATATGAAACAGATTCATCTAATTTAGATGGTTTTAACATGATTGATCAGAGTCTACCCATCACATAATCTACATATGTAGATTATGTGATGGGTATGTGTATGTATTATATGCCCTACATATATAGTCAATATATACCTTATTGACTTGGCCCTTAATATGTAATGTTAAGTACTTGCTCAGCTGTGCCACTTGGTGGCAGCACTGACACATGTCTTTTGGGTCATAAAAAATCAGTTTATTTCTGCATGACACTGCTGATCCTCTTTTCCCTTCAGGTATGTAGAACATGGATCTTTCTGGTACTAATAAGTTTGTAATAGTTAATATCTATTGGGACGACAGATTACGAACTCACTCTTTTTGCTTAGGAGTCTCTTGTTCTTCTGGACAGATGGTTTGAACCCGGCATCGTCACAGTTGCAGTCATCAAAGTTAGAATTAAAAGACAGTGTGGATGGACTACTGGCCATCAGAGCCTGCATGCGTGGGGCGAACAGACTCGCCATGCCTTTACACTTGTACAGCCTCAGCTTGCCAGTCGGATCCTCCACACACTGCCACTTCTGAAACAAACCCAAAAGGAAAAATATATCCAATGATACAGGACCGAATACGTTTCAGATTATGAGCAAACCCAAAGATCCTTAAAAGACTAATCTTCAGACGCTGTTGCAAACCTGAGCTTACAGTGCATATCACAGTAACCGCACAGGTGCCAAATTTTTATCCTGCGATGGCAACACATGATTTCTTTATGGTGTTAGTTGAATAGCCTCCCCCCTCTGGGCATATACAGGTCGTATACCTGTCCTGGCTGCTGGCATGAAGTCTGGTACTCTGCTTTCTGGCACAGGTCCTTCACCCTCTGGTATTTTGGCAGGAAGTTCTCCTCCTGGGCCATTTCCTTCCCGTCAGCTCTCTTGTGTGGAAGCTTCCTGAAAGAACAGACAGAACATTGACAGGGAGTTAGATGCTGGCAGAATGCAGCGCCTCGAATAGAGAACTTGTCTTACAAAAGGTCAATCAATAAAACATACCCTCTCTCCACCAGGAAGGAGTCTCTCCAGGTTTTTCCTTTTCTGTTCAACTGGAACCTGAGGAATCGGCAAAAGACCACCATGATATTTGCAGCAAACAAACATGTCTGTCATCTCAAAATGCCATGCTTCGTCAAACGATAATGATGCTGTACCTCTAGATATGAAATATGAACTTTACTACAACAAAGTTTTTACTTTATTCTTTTATAAATTGTTTTTTTTTTTATAAAAAGTTACTGATACCAGCTGATAAGTTTAAATCTAAAAAGCTCAAATTTTTAAGATGGCTAAATGCACAATAAAATAAACTAACATGACAGGAAAGAGAAAAGAAGAAAAATTGTTAAAGTTAAATATTGAACCAAATATATTATCTAGAAATCAGAGCTACAGAGAGACAATATTAACCTGGTAGGTTCTCGCTTAATGCCTTAAAGCCATATTTTGTAAAAAGTCTTTTCTGGCTCTACTAAGTTATTTCCTGCAGAGGCACAAAGCTATTGATCTCACAAACCACATTTTAATTAGAAGGGAGGCGTTGCATTTTCAGTTTGTCACAATACATTTCTTAGCAATTGCCAAAAGGACTTTTGTGAGCTTTAGTAAGAAGTTTAAGAGGTGAGTAAAAATGTAAGCCTATTGATAGAATGTCTCACACTCCAGCAGTTTACTACAAAGCATTTTGTGTCTCTAAAAAATCCAGTTCAATCCCATTTGATGGGAAGGGATGTAATACCTCCCTTTTTTTAAGAGTTGCTGGGGAACTGTCTATGCAGTGTGCTCACCTGTTTATTGGTCGATCTGTGGCCAGCAGTTTGAGGATGGACTTGCCATCCATTTCAGCAGGAATATCAACACCGGCCATCTCCAGCAAAGTAGGTGCAAGATCAATGTTCAACACGATGTGAGGGTTTCTGCCAAGACACAGCAATACTTCTCACATAGACTTTGACTGAATGTGATTATCATCATGTCAATTTTCTTCTTACAAAAGACATGCATCTCCAGAGAATCCCCACCTCTTTGAAATCTTTCAAAATTTACAACATTGAAACCCACAAATGTATGTGTGTTTATTGGAGTCGTATCTGATAATCCAAAATAAAAAAGTGCATAAACATGAGATGCAAGAAAAGACTACAGCGGTGTCCAAAGTATCCTGCATGTTTTTTCGCTCTGGTTACCAAACTTGAATGAAATGACGATTTAGGTGCGTTAAATCAGCAGGTTTCTTCTGAATTTCCAGATATGCTTAGGAGGAAGTTGGACCAGCTGTTTGCAAACCACCACAAAAAAACTACTCAGAAAGAAAAAGAAGATGAGCCATTTGAAAGGGATGCATTGGAGAATCAACAACTCAGACACCAGCCCTTGGAGACTTAAGCTGGACACTGGTGGACAGCATGCTTTAGTGTGGTGTAGATCGTTATTTAACCCTAAAGTAAAAAAAAAACCCTAATAGAGGGCTCCTCAGTTGTGACCCTTGAGGTCCAGTCCTGTGCAGATTTTAGATGTGGCTCTGCTTCCTCATCTGAATTAAATCACTGAATTACATCCTCCGTATGCACTGAGTCCTGCTGATGACCTGATTAAGATAACTCAGGTATATTGAATTAGAGACACATCTAAAAGGTGACGGACATCAGACCTCAAGCATTGGAACTGTGGATGCCTGATCTAACAGCTGTAGGTCTTTCTCCAATGTTCTTTAAAAAACATGTAAACCTCAGTAAGTATGTAAAGGAGAGTAATTATAAACAGCAACTATCAAGTCTTGTCAAATACTGTATATCAGATTTTGATCTAGACTTTGACTAGGCCATGATTCCATACCAGATGAATACACTATTGGTGTGTTTGAATTCAGTGGCTGCTTAAATCTGAGCTGGCTGATTATATCATAGCGCGGCGCCATTCGAATCCAAAGATTCCTTCATGTATGGCCGGCAAATGTAGCCTTTTTTCCCCTGCTTTGAAGGACAGGTCCTCTGAATCCTTATTAGACTAGCGTATCCCGTAATTAATTGCAGGTCAAAGCAGGCCTGCTACTCCATGCTCAGAGTTTTCCTCTGAGCATGGAGCAGCAGGCCTGCTGTAGGGAAATGGCAACTAACAGTAGTAAAAAGTTTCATATGAAAAAAGGATGTGAATGGACTGATTTTAGAATAATCTAAATATATTTTTTAAATGGTTAGAAAGTCAGATGTGTCATAGGTAACTTTTTGTTATATATTTTTTTTATAGGGAAAGTGGCCGCCTAGTGGTAAGGGCATAGAGCTTGGAATCCTAAGATTCTAAGTTTGAGCCCTACTCCCACAGACCACCCTTAACCCCTATTGCTCCTGAGGCCATGGCAGACCACAGCTCCCTTTTCCGTCACACTTATCCCAAAGGGGGTCATGAGGGGTGCTGGTGCCTATCTCCATTTATCTACAGGCGAGAGGCGGGGTACACCCTGCACAGGTCGCCAGTCTAGGCAGACCGGGTGCTTTGGACAATGCAGCTGGTGGATCTGAAAACACTGATTAATTTAAACCAGCCTTGAGCGCTGGTGTCCTGCAGGTTTTAGAAGTTTCCCTGCTTCAGCACTGCAGGTTTCGTTAATTGCCTATTAATCAGCAATCAATGCATATCAGCTGTGCTGAAGCAGGCAAACCTCTAAAACCTGAGGAACTGCAGCCCTAGAGGACTGATTTAGGGCAGGCCTGCTCTAAACCATTTTGGAATAATGTTTAGCTTTGTTTTCCTGTCGAAGTTGATATGCAGAGCTATTTATCTCCTGCTATAGAACTTTGCATATAGATTACAAAGTAAGTTTTTAGTCCCATGTGACCAAAGCACCTTGTTCTACCCTGTTTTTCCTACAGTGGTTGTGGTGAGCTGCAAACGTTAGTATTTGAATGTTTGTTTTTTAGCATCCGCTTGTTTCCTTCATCATCAAACCTTATTACAGCAAAGCTTTTCCCCAACTTCTGTCTCTGGCATATCTGCTGTTTTATTTGAAAACATAGAGTAATCCATAATCCATAATTTACAATTATGGATTACTCTACTCCAACTAAAATCCGAACATATCTAGCTTGTTAGTCAGAAAACATTTAGAGAACCATGGAGTATTTTCCTTTACAATTAAACAATACCTATTGTTGGTCGATTAAATAAAAACCTCATACATCAAAGATTGAGGTCTTAAAATAATAAAAAAAAAAGGTTAAGGGTAAAAAGAGTCTAAGTGCTTTTGTAAAGCACTCGGCAACAAATGATAATTTTTTACTGTCAGGAAAATGAGAATGGAAGTGTCTTGTTACTTACATCGTGCCTTGCTCCACATTAGGTCCCCGTATATAGAATGGGACACGGATATCAAACTCATAGGGCATTGATTTGCCCTTAACCAGACCAAACTGACCGATGTGATAGCCGTGGTCGGAGGTGTAAATGAGGTAGGTGTTGTCCAGTTCCCCCGTCTCTACCAACATGTTGTACACCTAAGGGAGACACGACTCATTGAGCAAGGCACACAGGGTAAAAAAGTTACACTCTATGTTTGATAGCTCAAATCTCCTGTGCCAGTTTCAAGGAAAAAGAGATTGAACAATTTACCAAGTGTGTCAGTGAATTCATTATCCCAGTCCCAGTCAGAACAAGAACAGATCTCCCAGGACCCCTGGCTGTCAAATCAGTGGTCTGTGTGTGTGCGTGCTTTAAGCATACAAGCATCTGTCTGCCTGACTACCTTCTCCACACTATCGTCCACGGACAGCAGAGTCTGCATCCTCCTGCGCTGAAGCATGTTAGTAAACTGCATGTGGACAGGCTTCATTGGTCCAGTATAGCGGAGGATCCAGTGTTTGTCTGGGTTAGGGGCGTAGTTGTAGCTCGGGGTTCTGTAGACGAAGAAAAAGGAAGAAAATTCAACAAACAATTTTTCCCCTCAAAGTATAACAGATCATTTTTAAGCAGCATAATTATGGCTAACTGTTAATGCTGTTTTTAAAGCTATCGTACATTATTTACCGTGCTATTGTGCAACTGCAGCATTTTTTCCTGTTTAGAAAGAAAAGTATTTATTCAGGGTTTCAATTTATCTATCTCTATATAAGTAATGTAAAATTCTTAAGTGTTGAAATCATTAGGACTGCAAATTATGATGACATGCTACACTCCATGCTAATGTTTATCAGTTTGGAAATAAAACCCCCCAAGGAGGAAAGTAAGTAAAAATTGATTTTGTTGATTTGTTTCAGAAGTCAAATAGATTGCAAAAGTAAGAGGAGCCGTTTTTTTCTTCTACCCCCTTCGGGTTGAGGGCAGACAGAAATGAATGAAAAATATCAGGAAAGGTCTTGGCAGCTTTAAAAACCCAAGAGAGAGCACATTTATGGAGAAGGAGCAATTAAAAGTTTTTACAAAGACACAAAGGTTGAATTTAGTGAATCCTCTCCACACAAAGGCAGAGTGGTACAGGTTAATGATGCTGGAGGGATTAGACGAAGCAGTACAGCTGCGTGGGGAGGGTGGAACCAGGGAAGGAATAGTAACTACAATCTCATTACTGGCCTTAGATCCATCTCTGGAGGCCAATAGTGGGTTTTGCTATTAGCCAGCAGCACTAGAGAGGCAGTCAGAGTTATAAAGGTCAGAAAAAAACAAAGGCTGAAATGAAAGCGGTATATGCTTTATGCCTGCTTACATAAGCATCTCTCTATCATTACCTATGCATTAAACATGCATCATTTATGCCACTCCTTGATCATAGCTGACAAAACAGTACAAATTAACCATGCTTATTATAATGGTAACACTGATGTGAATAAGACGTGAGCCAAACAAACACTGGCTGTGCATGTAGAAGCCGGTTCCTGCCAACAGTCGACTGTAGGCAGAGGAGGAAGAGATCCAGCTGAGATTATAAAATTTGTGCCATTCTGGGTCAAATGAAAGGAAGCGTGAATGCGGGCATGAGTCATTTTCTATCAAACAGCAGTAAAAAAGTAAAAATGTGTCCTGGATATTTGTCAGCTTTGTCCCAGAGAGATCAAACAAACTCGCCACATATGGGAAAAAAAAGAGCTTTTGTTCAAACAGCATGGAGTTTAATGAATAATCAGAGAAATGCAGCACCTTGCTAAAGCTTTTAAACCCTTTAAAGCTTTTCATTTTCATGCAGTTGCCAAAAACTTTTATGTATTTTTGGAAGATTTCATTTGATGGACCAAAACAAAACAGTAAAGACTTTTGAAGTGGAAGTAAAGCAATGCGTAGTATTAAAATAGGTTTGGAAATGAAAACCTCCTGCAACAAATTTCATTAAGAAGTCACCAAATCACTACGTAATCAGACACGAAGAACAAAGCACTGTCAAAATGGTCAGAAGTCAGCAAAACAACCCTACACTGAGGTACAATAGAACAGTCTAAATCATTTATTCTCAAACTGCTAATAACAAGCAATACCTCAGCTAAGGCTGTTTCCCATGTTACACCATGTCCATCACTGTCCTATTACTATGGAAACAAAACAGAACTAAAGAGTCTCTGGTTTTGCGTGTTTTTGTAATGTTCTTGGTTCTGTTGGTTTTCTCTAAGTTTTTAGTTTCAAGTTCATCCAGGTTTTTCCTTGTTTTCTAGCTTTATCGGTGTGATCTGGATTTAAGTTTCTTAGGTTTTTCTTTGTCTGTCCTCTGCTGCCCCCTTGTGTTTTCTTTTCCCTTGGCTTCCTCATCAGCTCTACTCACACCTGCTCCTTATCAGCTCGTTAGTCCTGCCTTTGTTCAGTCAGCCATAAATACACTCCCTCTGCAGTCCCTCTGTGCTGATTCCTCGTCTTACTTTGTCTCACCCTGGCTCCTTGTGATGGTTTTCCCCTGATGTCTCCATGGTTCTGGTTTGTGTTTTATTTTTATGTTGCATTTTTGGATACCTGTTTTTGTTCAACATTTATAAGTTGGATTTTTGGATTCCTGTTTTTGCTACCTGTGTTATTCCATTAAATATTCAAAGAACACACCCCTGCCTCTCAGCCTCTGCATTTGGGTCCTTATAAAAACCTCCAAACACATCCTGACAGTTTTGAGATAAAGGCTACAAGAACAAACAATTGAATACAAGCACCTCTATGCTTATTAAAAACATCTAGTTTAAACAGTCCTTTAATTTCCATGAAATTCCACATGGAAAAGGTTGATACCTGGATCCCAAGATCCAATATAGCTAACGCTGACCCTAAACACTGATCTAAATGTAAAAGAACTGCTTATTTATGCTGTGTTGCTAAAGGGTGTGCATTCATAAAGCCCAGAGAAATGCATTATTATTTCCCTGTGTTTCTTAATCAACAATAACTGGAGCTTTGATCTACTCTTTATGCTAAAGGAAAGATTGTTGTGCTTAAATTGATTATAGATTAAATTCTGGCCTCATTGTTTAGCTTCTACTGGCTAAATGACTTTTTTGATTGCTCAAATAGTGGATATCAAAATTTTTGTTTTGGATCTTACAAAAGCCAACCCAAGTGCCATTTAGCAAAACTTGCACCAGTTAGAAAACGATGGGTTTAGACAAAAAGCATATTCATGTGTTAGGATGGCCAAGTCAAAAGCCAGAAGAAAAGTTATTCGAAGGTTTAGCAAGACTTGAACAATGAATCGATTAATTTCTCTGCAGTCTGATGAGCTTTTGCTTTTTTTCTAAGTCTTTAGATGTGTCAGGATTTAAGATATAACCCCAAAGATCAGTTATATTACTTCCCTATTATAAAATGCAATCAACATTTAAGGTCTGTCATACAAAATCCTAATAAAATACACTTAAGTTTTAGGTTGCACTATATTAAAATGAGAAAACAACAAAATTGTTGCGTGAATTATCCTAGCCTCATAGTCAGGTTAATGTTTTGACATAAAGAGATTTTCTCACATGTGCTGAGAGGCGTTAGGAAAGGCAGTGCTGTACTGTGGAGCAGAGTCCTCAGGGCCGTGTGGAGCAACATGGCTCAGGACCATCAGGACAGGCCGGTGAGGATACATCCTCTTGGACATCAGGAAGTAGTTGATGCTGTTGTTGGTGATGACATCTGTTAGGTAGTCCTGTGGAACAAGTAATCATTAACTATCAGGCATCCACCAGCCAATAAACATAGAGCTGACATTAGAGCGTACATTACTATGCTGGGTCTCTGTCTTATTGTTTTAAACTAACAATTAGACTAGTTTGATTAATTCACAGTGTGTATTTCATAAATTTATGGAGTAGATCTGGCTATTCAGTACACAGTCAGATAAATGCTGCTATTCTGAATATCATCAAACCCTCCAGTGGATTACCACTCTTAAGACACGGTTGATCCCTTTGCGTCTAAATCTCCGATCCAATTTTTTTCTATGTCATACTGACTGCAGAGACTTCTGCAACGTAGGGTGAGCAGATCCCGATTTGTGGAGTTTTATTTAAATTCTGTCTGTGAGGCCCAAAAATTTAAACAATGTATTACATTTGAGTGGGAAAGATTAATAAAATTAAACAAAAACAAAACATAAAACCACAATAAACAAAAAAACAACAACAGTAAAACAAAACAAAAACAACAACAACAAAAAAAAAACCAGCTGGTGCGGCCATATACCTAAGGCCAACGTCATTGCCAGCCTGCGCAGCTTGCTGTTAAATGTTGTTCATCTGCTACCCGGCTTATGTTGTCCTACCTACTAAAATAGACCGGGGGTCTATCATGATCAGAGTAATGTAAGCCACCTTGCAGAAAATATTGTTGGGTGTTCTCATCCCCATTGACTCAGTGAGCTCTATTGAGTGGCACAACCTCAGAAAATCAGACAGAAAACCACGTTCGCTGTGATCTGGGCTTAAGAATCATGACTCCTTCCTCCAAAGAACACATCTTTGCTGTTTGGGAATTCCGTGGCAGTGGCGTCAATGCAGCTGAACCCAAATCTATGAAGCCCTCCATACCCTCCCCTTGAACCAATCTGAAGTTTAGAGCTGTTGACTGCAGAAACTTGAAGATCCCTTGTCACTATACTTTGTAGCCCTCTGATTACACAGGGCCTAGCACTTCACAGCCCAGTTAAAAAAAAATAAAAAAATTCTAACGACTTGCTGTGAAATATTTAGTTGAAAGGAAATTTATTGGATGGTATTAATGGGTGTTTAGTTTTTTGTCTATATTTTTGACAATAAAGTTCTAAAAGACACAAAAAAAGTTCCCACTGGACACTTGGACATTTTTTATGTAGTATAATGAGACAGAGAGAAAGGTAAGGAAACCTAATCCTTAGACAGTTGATGTATGACTTAAATGACTTCCTGTTGGGACCCATTTCCTGCATACTTGTTAAAGTTCTAATATGCATTTCTGGCATTGATTGTAATAAACTGTGGTGCCTTGCTACTACAGTACGGTACTTAAGGACTTATTGTACCGGTAGTGTTTGTAGAGGCAGTCTACATGCTGGCTGTTGTAGATGTGTTACCATAGAATGGATTACAACACAAGAATTCTATAATTTGGACGGATGGCCAAATACTTTGGGCTATATAGGCTGTGTCTGAATGTCTACTCTAACCCCTATATAGGAAATACAGTGGTTATGCCGTTTTAGATGAGTTTCCAAATGTCTAACGGATGACAAAAAAGTGGACTCCAAATTTTCCAAAATGCACCTTGAAAAGTAGTGGTCATCCATGGTCTCTAGATGAGCACATATATGCCAGAATGCTTTGTGAGGAGAGCTCTCCTTGCAAAGCATCATGGGATTTGTTGTCACAGCAAGGGGCAGATTTTGGAAATTTGGGGCCGAGACACACTTATTATTGTAAGCGTTCTGATGGTATTTTGGCGAAAGGATTTTTATCAAAAACATAATTAATGTGCACAAATAAGGAATAGTCCTATTAACCATACAAGGATTATATTACAGGTTTTATGGGGCCCCAAGGAACATGGGGCCCTAGGCAACTGCCTAGTATTGCCTAATGGTAAATTCCCCTGATGAATATGGAGCAGGCACCGTGCAGGCAGGCAAAATTAAATCGGCAATGGGGAGTAAAAAGTAGTGATCATATGCCCGAAACGTCAGTTAACTGAGTACACTATCAAGTCCACTATATAGTACTTGATCTATATAGTGATTGAGGGCTTAGGGTGGATGTTTGTATTTAGAAACAATGATCTATTAAATGTGAAATGGTAAAAAATTCAGATCACAATCACAATATTCTAAGAGAGAGCCACAGTTTTAGGATGTTTAAAAAATGTTCTGTAAAAATAAAAAGGCATCAATACCTTTTGGTAGTCACTGCTGTGTTTTTCCCGTACACCATTCCTGCAGAGGGTGTAGTTGTAGAAGCGGGAGTTCTTCACCAGTGCTACCCATTCTTTCCAGCCAGGGGGCACATAGGAGCCATTGTACTCATTCAGATACTTTCCAAAGAAGGCTTGAAGGAGAATCGGGAGTAAAATGTTAACATTTCAAATCATCAAGGAGCATCTAGGATGTTAGGGCGGTGCTTACCGGTTCTGTAACCAGAGTTGTTCAGGTGCACGGCAAATGTGTGAGGCTCATGGTGCGCCTGCCATGAAGGTGAGGAGCAGTTCTCGTTGTTGGTGTAAGTGTGGTGGTTGTGCACATACTTCCCAGTCAGGATGGAGGAGCGGGATGGGCAGCACATGGGGGTGGTGGAGAAAGCGTTTGAAAAATACGTACCTCCCTTTTCCATGATGCGCCGAGTTTTGTTCATGGCCTGCATTGAGCCTGAGAAGAGAGAGCAGGGGTATTGGGGGAAAGGGAGAATTTATGTGAGGGGGACAGCAGGGTTTGATTCAGAGGTTAACAGCTGAAACAGAAGGGACCAAAAGGGACATACAGAAGCTAAAGAGGGAGGGGAATGAAAGAGTCGGGAACTTAGAAACATAGCTAGGATAAATGTCAATACAGGTCAGGAGAGGGTAAAAGCAACAGGATTAAAGTTAGAGAGAAAATAAGAGCTGGAGTTAAGTGAGGAAATAAATCTTTTTGGTAAAGTGTGACCCATTTAGATTTCTCTGTAACAGAAACTCTTCAGACTGATGGTGATTGTTTGGGGAAACAGATGCTTGACCATAAATTCCTCCTTCAATGGCTGCCTTCTCACTGCGATCACTAGAGGACAAAAGATGTCACAGAGGCTATTATGCTGCTACTCCAATCCAATAAGTTGGTAAAGGACTTCAGCGGGTAGGGAGATGGCCAGAGTTTGGCAATCAGACAATGGAAGCCATGGGCTGGCCTTAATTCACGTCAGAAACAGCGCTGGCAAAGGGAGAAACATGACTTGGACGGAGCCAGCTGTTAGACTGCCAAGGAGCAGCTTAGGTTGATTTGCTCTTATGAAAGCTGCTGGACTGACATGGGCCGAATATTCAAACTAATAAGATAAGGAACAAAGGGAAAAAATCTGATGTGCTTGGCTGTGAAAAAGGGTTTGCCTAATTAAACATTTCTTCTACTTGTGCCTTTAAGCACAATTAATTATTTCAAATCTAACATGTTTTTAAATAAGTGAAATTTGACCCAATTTAATTATTTTTGTTTTGATAAATATTTTATTAATGAAATTATAAAAATCTATTTAAACCAACCTGTACAGCTATAAAAAGATAATTTCCCTTAAATTTATTTATTCGACTTTGTTGTTGACAACAACTCAAATATTTGGGATGACGGTCAGTGGGACTAAACCCTAATTGCGGAGGAATGTTGGTTCAGTCGTTGTTGCAGAGCTGTTTTAATCTAGTTCCAATGAGGGATTTCTGGAGGATGTGCAGCTTTTTTTCAGCAAAGACTTGGACAAGCTTACATCAAATCCTTCATTTCATTCACTTTAGCCCCTCGGAGCTAAGCTAGAACTAACATGTTTAACGGCAAACTTTGATTTTCACAAAATATTTCCCTGAGAGTCTTGGTGATCATAAAAACGTTAATTAGCAATAAGGTTGCTGTGATCAGCAGGCATGTTTATTGTTGATGTATGCTCCTTTTCCCCAGTCTTTCATTTTAAATAATTAAATCTGACTTGACCATGCGTTTCCTTTAAAGATTTTCTATCCTACTTCATTTTATTTAACAGGCAGTGAATAATTGATATAAAAAACTCTTCAGGTCTGGTTGTGGTCATTTAAAATTAAATGACAAAATGATGTTCTATTAAATACTATTCCAGTAAATTCACCATTTCAAAAGGAATGTAGTTAAAAAAATTGACATAAAGAAAAAAATCTCTATAGAAGTCAAATCATTTTCACAGCACAGGATCTTACCCAGTTCTATGTCCTGATCATCAGTGAGAATAAGGATGATGTTGGGTCGGACGTTTCTCATGTGGCGGTCCCTTTGCAAACGAGACCTGAGGCGAAACCCTGACAGGTATCCAGAGCCCTGGGCCTCAGAAACGATTCCCACTAAGACAAGGGAGAGAAGAAGAGGGGCAATGGCAGGGTGTCCTCGCTGTGCCATCACTTCGGCTTGTGGCAGCACCTCAGTCCTTCATTCAGAGCTCAGAGCGCCGGCAGGTCTCTCTGCAGCTTCTGAAACAGAACGCAGGAGGGCTCTGATAAGAATAAAACGTTCAAACCCACACACAGGCATGGACACACACACAGGACACAGTGGGAAATAGCAGATGCAAGCCCAAAACAGCATTACAGGGTGTTCTCCCGCTCAAATGCACCCGATTGGGCTAAGCTCAGCTCGTTAATCAATCATTAATGATGCATTAGAGTGGTGTCATTGGCTGGTTGTAATGATCCCTGGTGATGAGCACATGGCTGCCAGGCTGGGGCTAATGGGCCTGGGACTGAGGCCAGCTCAAGCCTCACCTCTCCCTGAGAGGGTTTTGTGGACAGGAGGGATGCAAGGCACCGGGGTCAGGAGGAGGGGTGGAGGTGAAGGAGAAACAGGATGAGATGAGCGGGTGGAGCTGGGAAGGAGGAGGAAATATTACAAAGAAAAGGCTAATTTCAAGTTTTAGCAAGTATTCACTGTATTTAGAGAGGAAAATATTTGTGAAATAAATAACCCCAAGTGAATACAAACACCCTTTTTAAGAATATTTGTTGAAGAATGTTAATTTTTACACCCAGATGGAGACATGTTGGCACACAGTTCTCTGTACAGTCATGGGGTGGTGGGATGCTCTAAGCTTTCATTTAAAGGTCTTGCTTCAGTTCAGGTGGAGAGTCGTGTAAGTCTGTTCTGTTGTGCCATAATCTTTCCCATTTCAGATGATGGATTGAACAGTGGCCTGTAACACTCAAAGGTTGGGATATTCTTTCACAACCTAATCCTGCTTTAAACCTGTCTATAAATCTAGCCCCAAACTGCCAACTCTGCCTCTTGGCCTTTCATCATGTTGATTGTTCATTGATGGTCAGAACAGCTACATCAGCAGAGGCTAATATCTGTACACATGGGCTCTATTAGCCTTTAAGGTCTCTTCTGAGGGGAGTGGGTTGATTTGGATTTCATGTTTGTTATATCAGAGTAAAAGGGGAGAAAATGAGTAGACATGCCACACTTTCTTCATCATTTATTTTATAAAACAACTTTTTAATTTCCTGATTTATGTGGGTATGTTCATATAAATAACATGCAAGTCAAATACATAATTTTCTTTGGCTAACAAATGTGACAAAGTTTAAGAAGTATGAGTATTGCAGTTAAAGTTATAAACACATACAAGAGCTAATAGGAATCTTTCAACTTTCTGGTCAGGATAATATTCACTTTGTAACAATTACTTTAAAACTACAGCAAACAATGAGAAGAAATAGAGAGAAGAAAATTAGCTAAATAAATAATGAATTTAATGTTGTGTTCAAAGATAAAGAAAAAACTGCTAAAATGAAAGCCTCAAGTGGACATATATATTTTGTTTAGCAGTTTAATATTGCAGTTCAATTGATAATTTAGTGGAAAAGGGAAGTTCAAATATTTATTGTCATCTAATGATGACTTAGAGTATAACTGGAGCAGTGACACATCCCAGTGACCGCAGCTCCAATCACAGCTAACATGCATGATGCAGCATTTGGGTGCTAATAAGCACTCAGATGATGCTCCACTGTCATTGAAAGGGAGGGGGCGGTGGTCTCTGGGTGTAATCACTGTTTTAACAAACAAACAGCCAAGCTTCTTGTTTTGTGATTTCAGTGTGAATGGAAAACCCGTTGACACATTGATCCTCTGCAGAAAGTGAACTGATGTGCAGATTTAACTGCGTGTGAATGAATGGGTCAGGATTCTGTGATACAGACTGGAAATGCAAGAGGATTTAAGATGAAAATTTATTTTAAGACAGTAGCAGAATCTCACATGAATCTTCTATTGAAATGAATCCAACATTTTTGGAATATATTTGTCAAGTTAGGATTTTGCAGTGAAAAATTGTTTTCTATAAAATCCCTAAAGCCATAATTGTTGGTTCTAACAATCAGTATAAAAATAAAATACCAGTCTATTTTTAAATCTATGATTTTTTTTTTTTTAAAACTTGATAATAAACCAAAGAGAGAATCCAGCTAAACAGGGCTGTTAGATAAAGAGGAGGATATGTACTGGTGTGTTTTTTTCCAGATGTCCAGGGAACTTTGTTGGGCTGCAAGACAAGCTTTTAAAAACACCAGGCTTTAAATTGAAACCTGATGGTTCAACAGATATACTTTAAATTAGTCAATGATTGGGCTAGCAGGGAGAGGGAGAATAAAAAAAGAAGAGATAGTGAGATCAATCTTTCATCCACAAGATCAATTTTATTAGGTTTTAGACGTGTCTCTGCTCCACCCCTTTTCAGCCATGTTGGATGGATGGATGGATGGATGGATGGAATGGGATGGATTGGATGGACAGATGGGCAGACTTGCTGCTTTGCATAAATTGATTCTATTAACCTTTTTTGGGTTTTTTTCCAGGGTGAGAGTAGGTCACTGCAAGTATAGTTTATTTAAGGCATTTTACACATTACTATCAGGAGTATAATAAATTGGTCTTGGTTTATGCATAGATTATCATAGAGTCACAGCAGATTAATTGTGATCAGAAATTGGTAGAGCTGTATATCGCTGATCTAAAATGTCCAGACTGTACTCATTAAGGACATCCCTAATGCACCAATATCTACATCTTTTCCCACCCCCTTGTCCTCTTTGCTTTGCATTGCACACACCTACACATGCAAATCGACTGTGTGAACGTGTACTGTATGCAGAGAGACTAAGATAAAATGTATGGCAGAACAGTATTTGCTCTGGTTTCCAACACCCAGGGCATGAGCTGCTTCTTCCCCAGGGGAACATATGATCTCTGACCCTGAGGCAATGTGCTGTTTGGAAATGTCCTTGCTCCCTTTTTATCTGCTCTGACTGTCGAGTCTCTCTTTCACCTTTAGTGATGGCTAAAAAACAAGGCTCTAGAACAAACATTATCCAGAGTAAAAGAACTAAAATAAATGACATTCATTTAACTAGCTCTATTTATATTTCTCTGTGAATACATTTTCACAAATGTATTTACATCCTTAGAGAATTAAAGAAAGATTTGTATTGATGTGGAGATCATCCTCCGTATGAGTGTTTTGTGAATGATGAAGAAACAGTGCTTTCCTTTGATATTTGTTTATCATTTCAAAAACCTGATTTGGGGCAATCCATGGACGGTAAATTATAAAAAAAGCACACTGTTTAGGCAAAAAAAAAAATAGCTCAATCTTCAAAGAACAGTAGTTTGATTTCCAACGAATATCGACAAATGGCCTCATTTGGATATTCTGCTTTACATCCGCTTTATGGCTGTGAATATTTCCTTACATTATTCCGCTTAAAGCCTCCCTCTTTCACCTGATACTAAGGACTAATTGGATTTTTAGGCTTTTATAAGCAGACACATGGACTTATTTCTTCTCAGTTTGCTCTTCCCCTCTTTTACCCACAGGAATTGTTTTTCCAACTGTGTGATAGATGATACATGAAACAAAAAGAAAGATAAAAGCAGATAAAAACACAAAGTCCAAACATGCCGCAGGCATAACATCTCAAAGATGTGTGAAAATGCAGAGGTGGACAACTGTTATGCAGTGGGAGAAACTGAAGGAAAAAAGAGCTTTGAACATGTCGAGATTTTCCTAAGTTTTATTTATAATAAGGATTTAAAGATTATATAAAAGTATAAACATAAAATTATATAAATATAAAATGGTCCATAAATTATTTGTGATAAAGAGAAAAGACATAGTTAAGTACTGAGCCTGGTTATTGCAATTAAACAAATACTAATGAAGTACTTTTTGGTAATGGCAACTTCAGTACATCTGCTGTATGCAAAATATTGTCCTATGAGTTGCTTTGGTGTGATTTTAATCAACTCTTCCACACAAGCATTCTTCCAAAACTTTCAGTGTCAGTTGAATTCAATTAGGGTGAGAGAAAAAGCCATTCCATCGGCTTTAATTACATTCTCTGAAACCTGCTAAAGATTTCCATGTGTGTGTTTCAGATTATTCTCTTGCTGAAAACCCCGCCTTCATAAGGTCTTTAGACTCGTAAACAAAATTTCCCAAAGCTGCTATAGTTAATCTCTCCTTCAGTTCTATAACATCTGCTGCTGCATGTTGGAACAACTCAACTCCAGGGCTTTCCCATTATTAAACTTCATGGTCCGCATCTTACTTTTGTCAAAAAAACTGATTACGAGGTAGCCGAGGATTTGGTAACTTAGATCTCTCTCTTTGAGCCATGCTGGTGAGTATACTGGTTTAAGGTATCATGGAAGATTTTCGCGAATTTTTGAAAAAACCCACCCTCTTCACTTAAAAAAAAAATGCACATGCACAACCCTGCATCTGCTCCTAAGAGAGAATGCCTGTTAAATGCGTGCAAGAGCATGCACAAGCCCATTTCTCCTCATGCATGATCTGTTATAAAGTTGCTGTTTGCATCGCTACACAAGCTTATTTTCATAAAGAAGATCTGCAATTTTTCCACTATGTCAGACTCACCACCGGTAAGTGGAAATGGGAACAAGCACATAGGACTGCCTTACGTAAACATATCACCAGAATGATTGACAGTTAGGAGGACACTTATTTTGATGATCCACCTAGAAAAAGGACATCCTCCACTATACCTTTAAGTGAAAGCTCACTCCAGACAAATATGCAAGGCTAATAAGCTGTAGATGAGCTTCTTAGATTTGTCTTAACAGCAGAGATCAGGGGAGGGACTGCTGTATGCCAGAATACCTACTAAACATAAAGAACAGGCTCAGATAATTAAATGTAAGAAAATGTTTTAGATGATCATAAAACTACAACTTTAAGCTCTGCTGCTCTCAGACTCCAACATCATGACTAAATGATGGGTTTCAAGCATTTATAAAGCAGGGCAGGGTGTGCCATTTCTAAAAACTAGGATAATTCTCAAGCTCATTTCCCTGACAGAGTCTATGCCCGCATCAGCTCTTTGCTCTAAGTGAACTGAGAAACAACAATGCTGATTCAGCTCGATAATGCAGAAAGAATGGGGAATTTTCTGCC